GACCAAACACTTTCCATGAGGACCAAATTTTCCCCTACGAGGACACTTTCCCACGAGGACCAACACTTTCCATAGAGGGCCAACACTTTCCATCGAGGCCCAACACTTTCCCACGAGGCCAACTTTTTTCCATACGGGACCAACACTTTTTTACGGGCCCAACACTTTCCTACAAGGGACCAACACTTTCCACCGGGGCCCAACATTTTCCCATACGAAGACCAACATTTTCCACACGAGGGAAAACACTTTCCATAGAAGACCAACATTTTCACACGAGGACCAAATTTTCCCACACGAGGGCCAACATTTCCACAGGGGGCCCAACACTTTCCATAGGGAAGCCACACTTTTCACACAGGCCCAACCTTCTTACGGGACCACATTTTCCCACAAGGACCAACATTTTCCCACACGTGGCCAACATTTTCCAACGAAGACCAACATTTTCCACAGAGGGAAAACCACTTTCCACACGGGGGCCCAAAAACACTTTCCCTACGAAGCCCAAACTTTTCACAGGGCCCAACATTTTTAACGAGGACCAACATTTTCCACACGGGGCACATTTTCCCAACGGGGGGCCCAAACACTTTCCATACGGAGCCAACACTTTTCACACGAGGCCAAACTTTCCTACGAAGCCAAAACCCCTTTTACAAAGGCCCAAAGTTTTTCCCTGGGATCAGTGCTTCCCATATGGGGGGAAACACCCCCTATGTGGATAAACACTCGGAATCTTTGGTAATGCCTTTTCTGGAGAGTCTAAAGCTCTAAACAAGGGGGTTTTTAAAAGGGTTTTTATTGTTTTGTGGTGTGTTTTTTTTAAAATTTTCCCTTTTTTTTTAATATGCTTTCACGAAAAAAAGAGGATGGTCTTGTGATCGACTTCAAACCCGAATGCCCGTGTTTGTAAATTAAAAATTTTTGGGGGGACCTAGGGGTGGTAGGTGCTAATTTGTCAATTAAATTGGAAAAAAATTAAATTTTTGGTTTTCAAGCGATAATTTTCGGATGTTATCCTGTCGGTTTGGTCTTCAATGCCCAAAAACTTTAAAAAATTAAGTTTCTGACGGCTTTTTAAAAATAGTGTTTATTTATTTAGAGATCTTGGTCTCTGCCGATAAACCCGAGACTGTTCTAAAAGATATAAAATTTCAAAGGTGATATACCTTAGGGGGTCTCCAATTTTTTTTTTTGATGAATTTTCTTTTTTTATTGGGTAAGCTGGGTAATACTTTATTTCTACAAGTAATGTACAAGGTTAAGGTCTAGTGACATCAATGCATATACATATAAAAGTCACTTGTTATACAGAGCATTTCGGGCAAGTTGGTCGTTTTTTCCAAAGGTGCGACCACACCCAGGTTTCCCCTTTTATGAGGGGGAAAAGAAAAAGTGTAAAGGGAAAAACCCCAATGTTTTTATCCTCGCCGGAAATCGAACCCGGACCCTCGCCGTGTGAAATGAAAGCTTTAGCCACCAGGTCATGGGATATTAGTTTCCATGAAATTATTTGTGAATAACTCTTCTGACTGGCTTCAGATCTTCAGTGCTGATATTTAACTGCGCTAAAAACTTACGCTGGTATCCCATTCATTCATACTGACTGGAACAGTGAAAATACTGTATATTTTCCGGAAATACGGTAATTTATAGGTAAATAGATGCCTTATATTGTATTTAATAAAAGTGTATTTTTAAAAAGAGGACAGTCACCATTTTGTTTGAATTGAATAACACGTGAATAATGGGAAGAATTTTTCGTGCTCTAGAGGTTAAAATCGGGCTGACACCTCTCAAATAGGAGGCGAAATTGTTGGATGTGCATTCCTGCATAATTTGAGAATCAGGCGACAGGACAGGACAACTCCAGGAACTCAGATAAGCTGTCTAAATTATGTTTAATTTCTGGCCAGTAAATTCTTCATAAATGTAGGCAAAAGGGGGGGGGGGGTCCTGTACATGACATTAATCTCCAGTCAAATTGGTGAGTGATATTAAGATATATTTTCCTTCTGTTATGTAATTGTGTATATATATAACCATTTATTATTTTTAATATACAGTCCACAAATTTTTATATTTACCAGTATTCCTGGAGATGTATAATTCATTTAATTAATAGGTCCAGAGCAACTTGTGGATATGACAGTGGTAGGTATCGAAGGGGGACATTTTTGCGACCTAGGTGTCCCAAATTCCTACTTGTCTAACTGATAAATAATAATTATCTATGTTCATTTACTGTTATGTATATAATGATACATTCAGATAAATGTAATTTTCCACAGGAACAATATACAAATAACCCACATATATGAGAATGAAGCTTATGACGACGTTTCGGTCCGACTTGTGCACACTATATAATTATGGCTAATTTAAAGGATATCTGACATAACTACCACACTTCAATGACTCTGACATAACTACCACACAATGACATCACTCGAAGTAGACTTCATTCGGATTATAAACTCGTCGCTTTGTGACAAAAAAATACCCTATAAAACTCACTCTAAGTGGTCAGACCGCTTAATTAACCATTTTTTATGTTACTATTTTATCTCCATTCTTGCCATCGATCTCAAGGCCTAACAAAAACAAAACTGTCTATTATCTCTGAGAGTTAGTAGCCCAAGATAACCCATGAAAATCAGTTGTGGGGAGACGGTAAGAAAGGGAAAGGGCACTTATTAAACACAGCACTAAGTTCAATATATATACCACGCCCATAGAAGAGAGGAGCTTACGACGACGTTTCGGTCCGACTTGGACCATTGGTCCAAGTGGGACCGAAACGTCGTCGTAAGCTCCTCTCTTCTATGTGCGGGTTATTTGTGTATTGTTCCAGTCATGGTATTGTGCCTTTTTGCTATTTATACCACGCCTACAGTAAATTAATTTTAATGAGGGAACACTGGAATGTAGATACATTATAACATGAGGTAGCACATTTATTTAAGTTCATTTAGATATACATCTACATTCCTATCGTTTGATATTAAGTAAAATATTGTACTCTTATAATTTAATTTGTTTGGAAACAAAATGGCACCCACACTATGAATACGTATATGATTACCAACACTTGTCTCACTGTGTTCATCTGATGCAGGGGTTACCTGGGTCCTGGTGGTGTGGCGCTGCTGCAAGACAACACATCGTCACCAGAATGTGTGGGAGGCGCTGCCGGAGAGGTGGACCGCTGGCTCTTGACATCTCAACACATCTACCAAAATCCCACAGCCAAGGAGGTCTACGGCTCCGCTGCCTTTGATCCAGAAGGAGTCCTAGGTGAGTCTTGCCTTCGATCCCGAAGAATTCCTGAGCGACTTCTGCCTTTAATTAATTAAGATCCTAAAGGAGTTCTAGAAGATTCCCAAGAAATGCAGGGTTAGTGTTACCTTCGATCCTGCCTTCTGTCTAAAAATTCAGGACTAGCCTTATCTTCGATCCATAAGGAGTTTTTGCAAGTGTCTTTTTTTTTTTTATCTCAAAGGCATTTTGTGGTTAGTCATGTTTTCAATTCTAAGGGAATTCTGAAAGGATATCTTTTCGATTGCGGAGCTCTGGACTAGTACCGCCCAACAATTTGCAATCATTATACTTCTAGTTATACATTGTGTAAATTGTTTTAGACTTTTGTATCCAATTGGATTGTAGTGTTTAACTTCTGATACACCAATTTAATGACTGCAGACTCGCACTGACACATAATAAACACATTAAAACGCTGGTACCTCTCCAGAAGCTGGGCCTAGTGTGTGACTTTGAGAAGTTGAGAGTGTTTATTACGACCAGCGGTGTACCACTCTCACCTATATTTACATCAACAAAAGTATATTCTAAGTGATATAAGTGTACACTTGGTGTACTTGTAACACTTCTCATACATAGTAACGCGTGTGTAAGTGAGATTGTTAGGGGTACTGGTTCATCTATCTACAGCTGAATTATGCTTGCATACATATATAACAATAGTAAACGTGTGAAGTTACCAGGGATGGAAAACCATGCAAGTCCACCAGAGTGATTTATCTTATTGTCATTGTAACATTACCTTAGTTTTTTTTTTTTTTTTTTTTTTTAGTAATACTGTTTACAATCTATGGTTGGGGGTAAGAGGTTGTCTTCAGCAATCATTGTGATTGTCTGCTATATTATTATTTCAGTGAGGTAACAATAGGTGGCAGTAGCCTGAACTAACTCAATGTGAAAAGTTATCATTGAATCTGAACCTCTTGTGTATGTGATTGTATGAAGAATTCTAATTTTAATTACTCAATATTACCTACTTTGTCTCTCACTCTCTCTCTCTCTGTTCACTTTGTAATTTGTGATAAGGTGTAGACTCGCCTGTACCATCCATTATATCATTTATATGTACCATAATATTAACACACATACAGAGGTCTCTGAGTGTGTTTTGGTGGGGTGTGTGTCGCAATTGAGTGGCTGGTGATCTGGTTGGAGTATGGTTTGGAGTGTTCATTGGAACTTGAGCAACTTGTGTCTTGTGATCTATTTTGAACTTTCTGACTTTGTAGTGAATATTTGGTCTTGCATAAGCTATAAGGGAAGATAAGCGAGGAATTCTTGTGTGTGAGTCTTACACCAGGATATCATCACTGGCAAAAACATGGCAAACTGTCAAGAGGAAACTATTTCTGCAGGTGATGGAAATGATGATAGCATCCGCCAATCCCCCCCCCCCAAAGTAAACAAAAGAGAAAAAGCGAGGAATGGGCTAGAGCGTGCGACGTAGTCGACTCACTTGGCTCGTACACAATGTGATACTAAACGTCCTTGGTGCACAGAGGCTGCAAGAAGTCCTTTCTTTTTTTCAAAGGAAGAATGTTGTTTAAGCTGGACTTCCCTGACAACACCCCGCTGCCTGCTAAGTTGTGCATGGCTAAATGACAAGCTGTAAACAAGCATCCTACTCAAGGATCCAAGGTAAGGAAAAACACCACACAACTTTGTGTTTGTGGAACAGAATGCAGAAACTGATCATTGATCTACTTAGTAACACCGTATGGGGGTATAAGCTGCTCCGACTCCATCAGACACTCACCACTTTAAAAAATGGGTCAGTATCATAATCTTTGGATTACCCTCTCTGCATGGACCATCCCATCTGACTCTAAGTGAGCATATCATTAAGCCTCAAAGACTTAAAGGAAAATCCCAAATTATTTGCCAGTTGGATTTTGGAGGGTCCTGTGCCCATCACCCGGAATATCTGGGTGCATGGTTACGTTTTCCTAAACATCGAAGTGTACCTACCTAACGTAGGTGTTACAAATGCCAGCACTATGGCCATGTTGCAGTAGGACGTGGGAAATGCTACATTCTTGGTGTGGTAAGTGTGCTGGGAAACATTCCACTAGAGAATGCAAAGTATGCCCTGACAGCCAAAAATTTAAGTGTATTTAACTGTAAAGAAGTTGGGGTTTACGGTTCCCACAAGGACTGCAGTCAGAACCCAAACACCTTCGATGTAAACCTGATACAGCCTTTAATGGTAACTGAGGATGGGGCTATCCAGTCTACCACAGCCAGATCTGAGACTGAACCTCTGCAAAGTGTGCAAGAACCCCACCTCACTGCAAACAATTCTGGTGATACCAGAATGCCATCACACACACCAGCTGTGGAGGAGCTAGCCATCCCTGCTAGCACATATGGAACTACTGGTCTGCCACTACAGATACCTATGGCTACACCTGAATATGGGGATGAGTTTGTCATTTCTCCCAATACACACAACACCTTCAAGGACCATAACATTGTATCAATCGCATCTGCTAGAAAAATGACAGGATGGATAATGAGAACCTTCAAAACTAGGGAGGCCAAGCCCATGATGACACTCTTCAGGTCACTTGTTCTATCTAGGCTGGAATATTGCTGCACTCTAACAGCACCTTTCAAGGCAGGTGAAATTGCCGACCTAGAAAATGTACAGAGAACTTTCACGGCGCGCATAACGGAGATAAAACACCTCAATTACTGGGAGCGCTTGAGTTTCTAAAAACCTGTATTCCCTGGAACGACAGGAGGAGGGAGAGATACATGTTAATACACTGGAAAATCCTAGGAGGGACTAGTACCGAAATTGCACACGAAATCACTCACTACGGAAAGCAAAGACTTGGCAGACGATGCACATCCCCCCAAATGAAAAGCAGGGGTGTCACTAGCACGTTAAGAGACCTAACAATAAGTGTCAGGGGCCCGAGACTGTTCAACTGCCTCCCAGCCACACATAAGGGGATTAACCAACAGGACCCTGGCAGTCATCAAGCAGGCACTGACAAACACTAAAGTCAGTTCCTGATCAGCCGGGCTGTGATCGTACGTTGGTTTGCGTGCAGCCAGAGCAACAGCCTGGTTGATTCAGGCGCTGATCCACCAGGAGGCCTGGTCACAGACGGGCCGCGGGGGCGTTGACCCCCGAAAAACTCAGGTAAAACTCCAGGTCCAGGATAAACAGTCTGACGGACACCAAACATGTAACCTCCCTGGAAATGGAGATGAAGTCAGATGCACAGGCCTACCTGCAATTGAATGATGAAAAGAGAAACTAATGTAACCATTGGTACCTGTTAAGGTGATAGGTGTTAAAGAAAGCACTAACCCAGAAGTGGCCATTCCGGGAGGCATTGGATTTGCCTGACTTCCTCATATTATAACAAATTTCCAGAAAAAAAATTGGAGCATCTTGAACAGATCTGACAAGTTTATTAAATATTATGTAATCAGGGATGATGCTCTTGAGCATGGTGATCGATGTCAAAAAGTGCAGCAATCCCGTCAGATTCCAGCAATTTGTAAGAAAGAAGCCATGACTCTTTGCCTTCAAGACTTGCCTTGGAACTGGCTGCCAATATGCCGAAAATGCTTAATAATAAAGGTCCTGAAGATAAAGACGTACAAAACTATGCTATTTGCTCTTTTTTTATAGGGGGTTTTTTTTTTGGTTTTTTTTTCTGCACACTGTAGTCTAAGCATAATAGTTTTACCATCTTATGAGCAGTGTGATTGTAATTAACTCACTAAATGGATACATTACAAATTCTTTTCAATGGAAACATTGCTTCCATTCAGGAAGCGGTTGCTGACCTTACATCATATTAGTGCACCAAGAATATTGATTGTCACTCTGTTTGCAGGAATGTAGATTGAAAAGAGGAGCCACCTCCACAAACTTGCCTGGATATGCAAGCTTATAACCCTAAGGTCAACAACTGTTGTGTGATGTATGTCAGAAAGACTTGCCACATTCACTCCTTTCCTTGCAGAAGTCGAGTTAACATGCAGTATCATGGTGTCAAGTATATGCAGGCGATTTTTCCATAAACATTTTTAATCTCTATGCCCAGCGAACCAGCTTCGACCTGATGCTTTACCAGATCGCATCAATAGTGAACCTACCATCATTCTTGGAGATTTTAATGCAGACATAAGAATATTGGTGGGTCTATAACAAACACCAATGGAACTAAACTAGTGAGAATTGCTAAAGAGCATGATAATGTTCGAATTGTGGGCACTACTGAGCCTACTCACATATATGGTTGGCATTACTAGATCTGTTGTTTGGATTTAATACATCATATACGATGCATGACTCTGTCATAGTTGATGATCTTCTTTCTGAATCACTTCCCAAGGACTAACAACTGTCAATCTTGGATCACATCTCCAGCAATCAAGGAGCTAAATACAGAAGGAGGAAACGTTATTCTCAAACCAGAACACGGAGACAACTTTTATTTAACCACTTGGATCTATGGTCTAAGAATTACCGAAGCCCATTGGCACACAAAAATTTATTGATTTAATTACCCACTATTGAGAGTGTTCTCACAGATAAGTGGGCGGAATAGGAAACAAAGACCCTCCACTACAAATAACAATAATAACCAATCGTAAATACTATAATGATCCACAGCTGCGCAATCGTAACACATGCAGTAGGAGGATTGGTAAAGCCATACCGTGAATGTAGAACCCCAGACTTGTCAGAACGTTCCAAGCTGCACTAACAAATTGCAAGGAATAGAAAGGAAGAACTTAGGAAACAGGAATGGGAACAGTTTGTTAGTGGTTAAATAGGTCACCCCTTTGAGTTGGACTTGGAAAGGTTAAATAATAACCAGGAAAAAGTCTGGCAATGTTGCGCATCCCTTCCTCTTGAAAAAGCAAATGGACCCATAAATGGACTGGTCCAAACACATCAGGCATGAAAACCTTCCATCTCATATTAGAAAAAACTTTAGAGAGTACTTCGGTGAATAAATTGTTGAAACTGATTAATTTTATGAGCCAAAATATTGATGAGAGTGATTGCCTCTTTACCGGAGTATGAATTAGAAAATGCATTAACCAAAGGTCGATCAACTGCTCCTGGGAGAGGATGGTATAACCTATGATTATTCTCAGAAATCTAGGCACGTGGCATGATAAACCCTCTGTTGGCCTGTATAATCTCACTTAACATTGAGGGCGTTCTTCTACTTCCTGGACCAATAGTCTCATTGTGCCTATTCCTAAACCCCAGCAGCCTGATACATTTAGGCGATCTCTCTTAACTGTTGTCTTTGTAAAACTTTTGAAAGAATGTGCTTAACAGACTGTCTACAGAATCAGACATCAACTTTCCCCCTCCTCTATGGGTGGTTCATGAAAGGTAAAAGTGTGCAGAACAGTATTTCCACCTTTCTCACTGCACCACCTTACTAGTTTACCATTTTCTTGATCTAAATCTGCATTTGATATTGCGAAACAGAACCGTTATATCTACATGGAATAGCCAAAATGTAATATTGGTGGTAGTTACTCTGCTGGATAATAGGATACTGTCAATTAGAGTATCCTCTGTCCTTTACCAAGGCTTCAGAAGTGATTCTAAAGAAATGTCTTTAGGTTACACCGCAGGGAGGAGTTATTAGTCCATTGCTAATTTAATATTCTGATTAATGCTCTCCTAAAGCTTCTACCTGCCTCACCTAACATATAGCTATAAGCTATGCTGATGATATCATGATCCTTACAACAGGGCATAAGATGGAATATCATTCTTAATAATGAGTCAAGCAATTTTGTAATGATAGCCATAATATCTTCTCTAAAACAAAGATATTAACAAGCAAAACGACATCCCACCCATCTATTTGGCAGGGTGAAATCATTAGGCATGTTAAAACTACAGATTTTTGGTGTTAGATGTTTACCCTTTAAACAATCCACTTACCACAACTAAACAAGAAATGTAAAAGTAGGCTAAATGACTCTCCAAAGGACTGTTGCTGGGCTACAATCCCAACTATGGTGTAATGTGAGAATCGTGAGATGATGTACATAGCCTTGTTAGTCCTTGATTGATTTATGCTGCCCCATGTTGATATTAGCTCAGAGCAAGTTCCTCCGACCCTTGGAGTTAATGCAAAATTAAGCTCTCAGGATTATTCATGGCTGTCCCAGATCTACAAAGTTCTTAACATGCAGGAAGGAGCCTTGGTATTTCTAGTATCAGTGTATGGATTGTTGAAATTAACACTGTACTCGGTATTAGAATGTTGAGAAAACGAACCAGACACCTGTCACAGTGAATCTTACCAAGTGTCTAGAGGTAAATACACACAGATCTAAAATGGATTGTTGAACACGTGCATTGCAATTGCTTAAGTTTTATAACCTGCATGAAGCTGTATCATGTAAGGCAACAAGAGCCCATTCACCCCCCCCTCCGTGGAAGATGTGTTCATTTAATAACACATACCTACAAGTCCTCCTAAGAAGCTCATTGCTAGTATCCCTTCCTTAAATCTCTTGTTAGAGCAACTGCTCAAAGAAGAAATTTTTCGCCTAGCTAGGTAGTAATAAGTTATCACAAGTTATATACACTGGATGGATCTAAACAGGAGTCTTTCTGGCAGGGCTGCATCTGCTCTTGTTGCCACCTCCCTAGTTAAGGACGTTAATAACTTTGTTGAGTTTAGGCATAAGAATTAAAACTGGGCGTCTACACTGCAAATGAATTGTTTCGCAATCTAATGGCGCTAAAAGCCAACCTATGACACTGAGCTGTGAACTTCTATCATCATTACTGATTCTATTGTCATCATTTGAGGCTCCTGGGCTCATATAATGACTCCAACAACATGCTATTGGGGAAGCCAGGTATAGATACTCAAAAATTAGGGACAAAGGAATTAATGTACAATTGCTATGGATCCATCACACATTGAGATTACTCCTTCATGATAAAGTTATGTTAGCCAAGAAGAGATCCAGAAGGAGAATGTAGAATATAACTTGGTATTAACTGTGTCTAGCATAGGAATTATATTAGGAGATGTGAAGTAAATAATGAGATGATTGTTATGGAATGCAGTTAGAAGCCTGAGTAGATCTATAACCCACTCTATGATAACATGGAACGTAGGATAAGTATGTTTATGGAGCAGAACTTGCAATGTGAACGGACTGACTGATGTTGTAGTGGCCAGGCTTAGGCTTGGTTACAAGTACGTGGACCCCGCCTTAACGATCACCGCCCAATGCGGACCCAATTATTGTAAGTTGTATTATGTAAGTGCATTTTGTAGTGGATTGTGGGGTCTGAAATGGACTAATCAACTTCAACAATATTTCTTATGGGAACAAATCCGGTCAGGTACTGGGCACCTGAACATAATTCTGAATGAAAAAAATATCGTTTAACCGGGGGTACACTGTACTTCTGCACAGTTTGGGAGACCACCAGATGATTATCAAACTAAATGTAAATTATGTGATTCAGGCATATGGAGTTACTCTCTTGAAAACACTATGTGCTTAATTGTCATTTATTGAGGATAAGAGACAGACCAGTATAATAACCTATGTGACATGTCAAGATATCTTATTAATGAAAATAAGATTACCAGATATACTAAGCAAAATTTCCTAAATTTGCATGTAACAGATAAGTGAATATAGATAAGTAGTATAAATCCATATGTATCCTGTTAACCCTTTGGGCCTAGTTCCTACGCCTTTGTGTATCCACATGGTCTCGCGCTACGTCCACAGGGGATGGTATGGGGTGCACAATAAACAGCCACTACGGTGGCAAAATCTAAAAATCTAAATCCCCAGCGGGGAACCAACGCTGGGTCACTATGGCATGCCAGGACGGAACTACGCTGAGAATTAAACACACTGAAAATACAGTTGCTGTGCCCATCCTTAAATATTAATCAAAAAGTATGATGTTAGTGTATGTGTAAGATTGTGGGAGCATTTGTGGTGTGTTTGCGTAAGCTTGTTTACCACTCCTTGGTATTGGCTTCATTCCAGGCCTTCAGACAGTCCAGAAATGAAGGAATTATGTCAGCTTATCATTAAACTTAAGTTAGTTAATGCCGCATGATGTATTCTCTGTACGAAAGCTTTTTGGTCACTTCTTTCTTGTACAATTTTAAGTTCAAACAGCCATTTGCCGAAATTATTATTATTATTTTATAATCAAGGGGGAAGCGCTAAACCCCGAGGATTATACAGCGCCTGGGGGGGGGATGAGGAAGGCATTCAGGCTTAATTCGGGGAATGGAGCACAAATCCAATTCCCTAAATCAAGAGCCCCTCACCAACATCAAGGAACCTTCCTTGAGGGCCGAAATTCTTAATTTTTTGTTTTTGCATCATTTTATGCTCATTATATGGGGAAGTTTTTTTCTTGCATCAATTTTTATTCTGTGACATTTATGTGTTAATTTCTGTCATGCATATACCAATCCATTTTATCATTTTAAGTTTTCTTGAGGGATTCTAGCCATTTTGATAGTAAGTACATATCTTCCCTTTCACCTAGCAATATACGTATATAGATACCGGATATTAATATTGTTATGGGTTGTATAATGATGAAGAAAATCAATGGCTTCCAACAGAAATTATGCAATAATGCTTAATTTTTATCCGTCTTCTGATTTCGTTGTATTGTATACGTATGTATTTTAAGCAACAATGGATGTGTGATGGCAATGACCCCTAGAGTAACCAACAGAGATTTATATACGTATATGTAACAGAGAGAGAGAGAGAGAGAGAGATATCATAATCTACACGTGGAAAATCCTAGAAGGAATTGTCCGAATCTGCACACAGAAATCACTCCCTACAAAAGTAAAAGACTGGGAAGGCAGTGCAAAATACCCAATGAAAGTTGGGGCACCACTACTAAGAGAAAACACCGTAAGTGTCCGGGGCCCAAGACTTCAACAGCCTACCCACCAGGCCATAAGGGGAATACTAATAGGTCCCTGGCTGCCTTTCAGAGGGAGCTGGACAGATGCTTAAAGTTGGTGCCGGATCAGCCGGGGCTGTGGGTTCATACGTTGGACTATGTGCGGCCAGCAGTAACAGCCTGGTTGATCAGCCCTGATCCACCAGGAGCCTGGTCGTGGACCGGGCCACGGGGGCGTTGATCCCCGGAATACCCTTCAGGTGGACTCCAGGTGGAACAAGAGTGGTTGAGAGTTAAGAAACTATCAGTAGACTACAGACATCAAAGAGAAAGAAGTAACCATCACTTGTCTTATGCACACAGGGTCGCTGACATCGATCTTCCAGGTGTTTTTGGGGTCTACAGGCAGGTATGGTGCTGCAGGCACATCAGAGCCACCATGGTCGTGCGTGTCGCTGGCTGCTGTGGTGTGTACTGCTGGGGGCGGTGGGTGCTGCCTCTTGCAATGCCTCATCAACGATGGTGTTATCCCTGTCAACAAGAACCTATGGTGGGTCCTCGCTCATCTCTCTGCTTTCACCTGTTATTGTTTCATTCACAGGGAAGCGCTAAAGTAGTGGGAGTCATATTATTATGTCCATGGGGAAGCACTAAATCTTTAGTCATACCACTCGTGAAATCGGAAGTATTCAGGTTCGATCCAGGGATGTCCTTGAATATGTAGTACCTTAAGCGAAATTGTGCAAATTGCCGCCTCCCTTCCATATTCCGGTGCATACCCTTTGCCATAACTTTATTATTATAATCAAAAGCAAGTGCTAAACCCACAAGGGTCGTACAGCACTTTGCCATAAAACAGTTTTTAAACAAAACTATTTATTATCCTGAGCTTCAAGTAAGGACAAAACAAATAAATCTTTTTATAAACAATGGTAGATTACTACAGCATTTCCTTACTACGTACTTCAAAATAATATGTAGATACCCCAAAATATGAGTCAGCTAGGGGTAAACAAAAAATACTGCTTGGATTTGACTGCTTTTGGCTAGCCTAGTGCGAGCCAAATCCTCACAATTTTCATTATATTTCACTAATGTGTTTCACCAGTCTCTCTCCTTCGTCATGGTTACCTCCTGCTTCGCTTACTTCCTGCTGGCTGTCTGCTACCTGCTGGTCGATGTCTGGGGTGTGTGGAGTGGCGCCCTTTCTACCAGGCAGGTAAGTACCAGTTTTTTTGTGTGTAATGATAAATTATGGTTACAGGGGTCAATTGGTAGATGGCGTTCGTGCACGTTGCTCCCTTCTACTATGCAGGTCAGTATCAGAGTTGGGGAGGGAATGGCGCAACACACCTCCGTCTATTAGGTAGGTCAGTACCTATGCTGGAGAAGGGGAAGTGCATCCTCCTTCTTCAAGGCAGGTCAGTACCAGGATTGGTAAGAGGACAGGCGAAGTACCAGGACTTGGACGGGGCAGAGTGATGACCCTTCTAACAAGTTTTCTTCTAGCAAAGTTAAATTTACTTTTACATGGGACTTACCATTTTGGATGGAATATCACACATTTTATCATGTTTCTTGTTGTTGGATGTAAATTTGTTCCAAGGAAGGAAACAGTAGCATTAATTCTTTGGATAGAGCCTTTCTTCAGGGGAAAAGTTCACATAACCCTGTTGCTTGAATACAGTACGTTATTTACGTACAATTGTTCTTCATGCCTCTGATGCCATTAACATTTTGCTCTGCAGGTATGAACAGCATCTTCCTGTATGTGGGTCATAATGTAGCATACAACATCTTTCCTTGGCATTATGCTGTGGGTCTCATGCATACTCACCTGGCTACACTGACAGAGACCCTCTGGGGAACTACACTCTGGGTCATCATAGCACTCTACTTGCACCACAAGAGAAAGTTTTATACAGTGTAAACCCCCATTATATTATACTATATATTATTATTATTATTACAGTCAGAACTAAGCTCTAAACTCACTAGGGTCATGTAAAGCCTCGGCAGCATGCCACATACACACCACCTCACACCCTTCTTATAGTTTGGGCCATCCATTATTGTTTAAGAAACTCATATGTAGCTATAGGCAGTCATGATGTATTAATGTTGAAACTAATATTTAGTTTTATTCTAATTGGGGGAAAACATTTAAACCCCCCGAGTTATGTACATTTAAGGAAAA